ACATCTGGCTGTACTTGAACCACAGTATCTGCAGGTTGAGAAAATCTACCCAGTCATGGGTTCCAGGGAATGACACATCCACCTCCTGGGCTTTTCCTTCCCCAAAATAACCAGCCCACAGCTTCCTGGGAGCTTTCTGTGGAAGTAGAGGCTCTGGGGTGCCCTACCATTGGAACCAGCGTGGAGGCCATGGCGTGGCTGCAGGGATGTGCTGCAGAGCAGTCAGTGAGATGCTTGTCCCTCTCGTGTCCCCCCACAGCACTCTGTCCATCTACGGGATCAACCAGACGGACGAGGCCATCTACCAGTGCCTGGCGGAGAACAGCGCGGGCTCCACGCAGGCCAGCGCCCGCCTCACCGTGCTCTGGGCCGACGGGCTGCCCAGCCCCCCACAGGCCGTCAGGGCCGAGACCGTCTCTGCCACCACCATCCAGGTGTCCTGGGAGAAGCCCCTGCAGAACACCAAGGAGATCATCGGCTACGTGCTGCACATTCGGAAAGCTGCAGGTACGGGGCTGCAGCCGCTGCCCGGAGCGTCCCCAGCCTTCCCTTGATTTACCCACTAGGTAAAACCAGGGAGTCTGTGCTGCTATCCATCACCTCCCTGTTTCTGAAGGATGGAGATGAGGCTGTAGTGCTTCTGTAAATACCAAAAACATGGAGAGGGTGAAGCCATGTAGTCAAATCATACTGCCCATGTAGGTCTCTGGCAAAGCACACAGAAATCATTGAATCAGGGAATCATAGAATGGTTTGGAAGGGACCTTAAAGATCATCCAGTTCCAATGCCCTGCCATGGGCAGGGACACCTTCCACTAGACCAGGTCGATCCAAGCCCCATCCAACCCAGACTTGAAATGTAAGCAGAAAAGTGTGTGGGCAGGTGCATGTCCCCCCAGTGACCACAATTACCACTTGCAAGATCTGTTCAGTCTCTTCACCTCTGGCAAAGCCTGACGCCGCTCTGTTCTCTGTCCCTTTGCCTTTCAGATCCCGTCGAGATGGAGTACCAGGAGGCTGTTAGCAAGAGCACCTTCCAGCAGCTGGTGACTGATTTGGAGCCCTCGACCAGCTACAGCTTTTATATAAAGGCTTACACCTCCCGGGGTGCCAGCAAAGCCTCAGAAGTCACGGTGGTGAGCACGCTGGGGGAAGGTAAGGAACGCTTTGCGCTTGGACCATCAGATGCTGACACCCACTGTGCGTAACCACCGCGCCGGGCACCCCGACACCACCCCCCAGCGCTTTGGCACACAGCCTGGGGTGGTGAAGCTCCTTGTTTCCACTCTTCCTCACTCTCTGGGATACTGTGTAAAACTCACTTGTATCGTTGCAGGGGGGTTGACTGATTAAAGCGCAGCATCGCCTCTCACAGCTGATGTTGTAGCAGGGGGTGAGTGCAAACCTGCCTGGTCTCTGCATTGCAGCTGCTCTGGGCTGTTCCTAAACTCCTTGCTAAATGCAGATTTCCTGCTCAAGCAGCATCTTCCAGCAGTTCTGGTACTCACAGCTCTTACTTGATAGGTGATACACTTTTTAAGGTTTGATTATTTTTCACTCTACTCTGAACAATTCACACTAAAGCTGAGCTGTTCTGACCTACAAACACCTGCCTTATAACAGCCTTCTGTTTCAGTGGGACATTAGGGTGACCTCCAAGGCTTTTTGGCTGACTTGGCCACCAGTTAGCTTCCCCAATAAGAAAGTGGGTGCTCTAATGCAGGACTCTTGCACACAGAAACCACAGCCCCAGTGTGATCTGTCAGCTGGCATTTTAGGAACGTTTTCCTAGAGACTCATCTGCCTCTCCAGCCCCTCTGAATCCTGGCTTGTCTCACATATGGAGACTAATTTCTTAAGAACATCATTCTCATGAGTGCTCAGGAATTATGGCTTTGCAGTGCAGAGGGCCTTGGGTGTGAGGATGTTATTTAGGATCAAATGAAAGAGTGTGTTGACTTCCAGGTGGGGGATCCAGTTCTCCTTCTGCTCTGAACCCTTGCAGATATTTATTACAGAATTTAAGCAGCACCACCAATAAATCCTCGCCCTGCTGGGTTGTTGCCCTGCAAGTTTATTTTCCTTGGTACTCTGCAGGGAATCAGTCACCCTTGGAGTTTGTTTTTCCTTCCAATTTAAAGGCAGAAGGATGGACTAAGGCAAAGCTTGAAACTCCTTGACCCGGGGCTCTGAGTTCAGTCACAGGAGCTACAAGCCAGCCATGCTCCATAGAACTTGGTGGCTCTGCAGAAGTCTGGGTCAAGGGAGAAAGGACTTTTTGTCATGATTACCTTCAATCACAAGAGAAATAGTTAGGGATCTGGTAATGGGATCATAAATTTCCTGGCTCTCTGAACTTTCAAGGCATGACTGTCCTGCTTTGCTATCCTTTAAAAAGGGCTTGTCCTGTGTAATGAAGCTTCAGCAATTAGCTCTCTAATCAGGAGGGACAAGCTGGCTTGGTTCAGATCACTCAACCCCAGCCTGTGTTTGACTTGTAGGAAGGTAAAAAGAGATTTAAATGCCCCAGTTGGCTTCATTTGCTCACATTTCTTCACTTGGGTGCCTGTTGCCTTCTGCTCACAGAGGAGAGAGTCAGTCAGAGAGCCAGGATCTGGTGGCTTTTGTCACCAGGTTAAGGTTTCGCTGCAGATTTGCCTCTTCTCACAGCCAAGATGTTTCACCCTGTGCCGTCCCAAGGTGCACAGGAGAGCTGTGACCCTGCTGGGCTTGAGGAGCCCCTGGATCTGTGCTGACAGCCTCAGAAAGGGATGGGTTTTCCAAGACATGCTGTACTGGCAGCCAGGGATGGGTGGATCTGGCAGGCAGGGGCAGCTCGGTGGAGCCCAGATAGCACTTGTTGGAGTGGCCAGCAGGGATGCTGCCAACTGGAGACTGGTTTGAGTGACTGTGTTCAACTGGTATTGTCTGGAGTAGGAATATGAAATCTTCCTGAGAAATACTGAGGAGCAGGGCTGCTTTTGGCTTGGGGCCATCAGCTTTTCAGGGGTAGCAATACGCTGAGAGCACGCTTGGCTGAAGCCTCCAATGCTTTCTAGATGCTCCTTCCTGTGTGCCAGTGCTAATTCTGGATGGAAAGTAGAAGGGATGACACTGTAGAGAAACAACCCAAGTGAACCTTGTCCTCCAGAAACCTCACTCACTGGGAAGGTCCTCCTGCCTCCTCCCTGTCGTTCTCCTTTACGCCGTTTCACAAATGCTGTGGTATTTTAAACCTCAAACGCTCTCCGCTTCATTAAGCAGCACACACTCCTTGTTCTTGTCTTTTAATGCTTTTTAGGGTTTTCTCCAGGACTTTTTGACATTTCTCTAGGATGAAGACTGTTCCTTTAGTCATCTTCGGCTAAAGACGCCTTCAAGAAGAAAGTTGAAATGACCTGGGGAAAATTCCAAACAGCACGGAAGAGGAAAACAAGTATCCCAGCCCTTAGCATGAGGGAGATGCCTCCCTTATAGTAGCTCCATATTATGTCTTATATATACTTCTGTGAAGCACCTATCTGCTGGTGTGTGTACCTATATTTACACACACACAGATATACTCCATTGTATACACTTATTTGTGTAATCACATTATAAACAGCACGTGCATTCTGCGAGTGCATCTACCTATAATCAGTATTATACATATATATATATACTCAAAGTTTGAATAAATACGATATATTTCATACTTTGAAGGAGAGATATTCTTGTGGTTTTTATTAAATGTAAGGCTCTGCAACCGTAAAATAAAGCCAACTCTTCGCAAATCAGGATGGCCCACATCAGTGTTTCTTTGTCCATGGGATAATATGATAATTTCCCTTTCTGTGGTGTTTTCACCCGTGGTTTGGAAAATGATGCTTTAAGCAAGAGTCTAACTTCTCAGAGCGGGGATTTTGCCCTAGAGGGAATTGGGAGAACGAGAAAAAAGGAGCATTTAATTGGATTGCAAAAATTCTCAGCCTCGGGAGGAATGGTACGTTCTGGTATAAATAGAATTTACTCTGTGTTTTGCACCCAGGAATTGCTAAGTTCAGCCTTCCCAGCAATGAAGTGGACATCAGAATAAATCCTAGCAAGAAGAAGTACTTCAGCCCATTTTTTTTTCCATTGGCAGCTCTCAGGCAGGATGGGATCTCATTAACCTGACCCAGGATACTGGGTCTTTCCTCCAGAATCCACGTGGAGATGCTCAGCAGTCAGCAGGGACTTTTTTATCTCCGTGTGCTTATTTGGAGGGCATCAGGCAAAGCCCCTGCAGCCTGAAGTGGGGCAACACTTTGGGAAGAGAGAGGGTTGTGCAGATCCTCCTGCTCACCTGGAGAGATGTCCTTCCTTTAAATCTCCTCGTGGAAAAACTTGAGCTCTCAGTGCCTGGGAAAAGGCAAATGGTTGTGCTGTGCAGTTTTACTTTTACCAGTAAATTGAGGAAATGCCCTTTTTAGCTCTCATCAGTCTCAGATTGACACGGCCACGTTCCATCTGCTCTTCACCATCGCTCACTAATGGTCGTGCTGAACTCTCTGCCAGGGGCTGGGTTTGCTTGTCCTTAGAGACCATTTGGGGAAAATCAAGCCAGAAAGCAGCTTCAGTCCAGTGCAATCCCAGCAATCCTTACAGTTGGGAACTGCTGAGCTTGTAATCATGTGGAATTGGAAAAATAGCTCTGCCTCAAAACCTGGAGGCTGCTGGAGAAGCAGGGCTGTTCTGCTGGATAGTTCTGCTGTGGAATGTAGCCAGGCTCACTGCCTGGTGCACAAAAACCCTTTTCCCTCCTGGTGCTGGAGCAGAGCCCTGGGCAGGGCAGAACCTGCAGCACCTGGTGCTTTGGACCTTCTGGATGGTGCCAAAGGCTGAGGAGGTGATGGGAGCGTTTGGCCTGAGGATGTTTTGCGGAAATGAGGGTAAAAAAAATCATTGGTGAAATGTCCAAAATACCCTGCTGAGATACATCTTGGTGTTGGTGTGATCAGTATAGGAGAAATGGAGGGTGGGGGAAGCGTGAGTCTGTGCCCTAGTGCTGCAGAAGGCTCGGGGCAGGGCTTGGTGCAGAACCAGCTTTGGAAAACCCAGATATATCCTTTCCATCCTAAGGAAATTGGCTTTGGTTTGCAAACCTTTGCCTCTCGGCCCAGGCTGATGGGGTGGGGCTGGGCAGCTTTTTGGGGACCTGGGGAAGGAATGACCTGTTCCCCTCTACAGCACACCCCAAGAACCAGGGCAGGGTTTTGGGGTATTGAGCAGAGCAAAAGGTGTCCTGGTGGACTTTGAATCAGGTGCAGCAGCAGGGACATCTTCCCAGCTAACCCCCCATGCACCCCTAAGGCCAGGTAAGTGCCTGCCTCCCAAAACAAGCCATCCCCAGCTGTGCAGGGATCTCAGGCTGCTCAGGTGTTTAGGGCTGTTGATGAAGATGACCCTGTTCTCTCTTGAATCCCCAGCACAGAATCACAAACCTCTGTCCTAAAGCCGATGGGGAGAGCAAGCCCCCTGCACGCTGCAAGCCAGTGCAGGTACCTGGCACGCTTATAAGATGGATGTCTCCAGCTCCATCCCTTCTGGTTCCTTCCTCCCTGGGGGATTAATCACTGTGAAAGGTTCTTGCCTCAGGGTGAGGGCAAAAAAGTGGAATTTGAGAACGCCTTGCCAAAGTTGCTACATTCCTGCCTTGACCCGACTGGGCCAAGCATCAGATTGCAACTGAAGTGTAAAAGTAGCTTCTGCTTGCTGGTCTGAGCAGAGGAAACCCTTGGAAACTCCTTCAGCTCCCTGAAGAAGTTCAAAGCTGTTAAACCAGATTCTGGTGTGCTCTGATTTTTCTCAGTCTCAGCTGGCACATTCTTCGGTGCAGTGACTGCAGGGAAAGGCTGCTGGGGAATTTCTCATTATGCAGACTGAAAAGCACATGCAACCCACTGTCTTTCTCTCTCTGTTTCAGTCCCAGCCATGCCATCCCTCTTTATTAAAGTCATTAACAGCACTGCCGTGCAGGCGACGTGGGAGCCCTCCATCAAACTGGGCCAGCACGAAGGCTTCAAGCTGTACTACCGCAAGGTCCACCTGGCCCAGTACACAGGCCCAGTGCTACTGGGCAGCAACGTCACAGCCTACAACATTACCCACCTGGGTGAGTATGGTGACACTCTGCTCCGTGTTCCCTCCCTGCCCCGGGAGGGTCTGTCCTGAATAGCAGGAGAGAGCTGGCATGTGTTGCCCAACCACTAAATGAGAAATGCAGGAGCTCTCCCCCAGGTTTTGGAATGCTTTCCCATGAACATGGGACAAGGTAGTTCTTTGCAGCATCTTGTGTGTATTTGGTAAGATGTTCGTTTCCCAAACAAGCCTCACTCGTGGTGACACCTGGACTGTCCTTGTGTCTCCCCCGGCAGACGCGTCGGTGGTGTACGAGGTCAAGCTCCTCGCCTACAACCAGCACGGGGATGGAGACTCCACTGTCCGCTTCGTGTCCCTGAGGGAAACCATGGAGAGGACAGGTGAGGCAGGATGTGGGTCTTGGTGGTGGTTTGGGAAACTGCTCTGCAGGAAGGTGGTGAGGCCAGACACATCCCCCAGACCCCTGTGGCTCTCATCTTTAGCCACTCGTTTATTTTCAGCATCACAAGTAGTGCTGAAGCAAAACCCTGCAGGGCTGGGACCACCTGGTGCTGGCCCTGGGGTGGCTTCCTGGCCATGTGGCTTGTACCATCCCCATTGGCCAGTCCAACCTGATGACTTTTGGGGATAAAACTAACCCAATGTTCCTGTAATTGCCAGTTTTGTCCCATAAGCTTGAGCTAGAGGCAAAGCCATGAACATGAATGAGCCCCCATGTATAGGCTAAGAGCTGCCATCCTCAGGTGAGATGTGATGCACTGAGCATCTCCACTCTCCTGGAGCTCTCCTGGATGTTTTGACCTTCACTAGTCAAAAGGGAGGGCACGTGGCTTTGGAATGGGGAACGGCTGCAGAGCACAAGTGCTGCTTTATGTGGCAGCAGAGGGGAAACCTCTAGAGGGAATCTCTTAACTGATCACACCTTTCATATTCATCTATGTGTAAAAAACATCCTGCTGCTCTTGGAAGCCTTTTAAGCCTTCCAGTGGGAATATCTTCAAGAGATAGTTATAACTCCTCTGTCTGTATTGGAGTAAATACTAATCTCACTGGCATCTGCCTGCTCAGTGCTTTCCATCAGGTCTCAGCCTGCTCTGGCATGGTCACCACCTCTCATCTCCCACCTTGGGCACAGGGGATGGCAAAAATTAACATCAGAGTCTTTTCTGTTCATTAATTGTGTCTAATGACAGCAACCAGGTAATGGGGCTGGCTCACTATGGAATTCCAGTCCTGTGCTTGCTCTGAGTGCCTTCTTGGAGTGCCAGGAGCAGGGAAGCTCCTTCAGCAGGCAGTGACTCCCCTGCCAGCTCTGTGTCTTTATCTCCTCTTCCCATGCACACAGCCCAGGCTCCAGCTTTGGCTCTGGGCTCCCCAAAAGCTGGAGGAACAATAGGAGAGAAGCACCACTGACTCCCCAATCCCCCTTTTTTCTGGCAGTATTGAATCCCCCCTGTGACTGCATGAAGGACGAGCAGAACAATAAAACCTCCACGACCGGCATCATCATCGGGATCCACATCGGCGTCACCTGCATCATATTCTGCATCCTCTTCCTCATGTTCGGGTACCGAGGAAGGTAGGGATGCTCATGTCACTGCTCACAAGGGGTGATGGTCCCTAATGCCATGTGGGTGTCCCACCCTCAGTGCAATGCTGGACTTTATAGGATGGATTGAAGGATGAAGGAATGTAGCATAAGGATAAGGCAGACTCAGGCTTGGGGGAGGGAATGGGGGAGGAACCATCTTTCTCACCCTCAGGCTCCATCTCTCTATTTTTCAGGCTGCTGATGTGCAAAAACGTGCAGGAGCAGCTCTCAACCCCACAGATCCCCAGGAGCCAGCGGAGCGCCGCAAGCCTTGTCCTGAACGGGGCTGCTCGCAGGGACAGGGACGACCGGGACTTGAACGGAAAGCAGCTGGATATGAACGAGCTGGAGAGGTTATTCCCAGCATCCCCATCCCAGGAGCAGCAGGATAAGGGAATGACGGTAAGTCCAGCGGGATGGGAGCTCACCTGGCTGCATGGCTGAGCGCATCAGATGTTGTCACTGCACTGTCCCCTTCTCTCTCCTCAGTCGGCTCACAGCCCGCCGGCCCCCCACGACGACACCCAGATCTCCACACTCCCTCTGGACGAGTTCAGTATCATTGAGGAGCAGCCAGACCCCCTCCCAAAACCCTCCCGTGGCAGCAGCCCCCCTGCTCCAGCTCCCGACCACGGTCCCGCCAATGAAGGATAAAACTGCCAAGACTCGAAGCCTCTTGTGGGAGTTACCAGAAACCAAACCCACGGCTGGTGATGTCTTTACGAGTTGTCAATCTCAGGTCAATTGAAGATTTCTACGGTCTGATTGTTATTTTTTTGTTTTGCTTTATTTTTATATATATATATAAATATATATATATGTATACAGCCTTTTGGAAACTCTGTGAAGTTTTATCTTTCTGACCTCTCCTTCGAGCCTCTTGGTGTTTCTTCCGATGGCGGCTTCGCGGAGACTGGTCACGATGAATTTTCCCCTCAGCTGCTAAGTAACAGACTCCTTGGCAGAGTTTGACAAACTCTCCCGTCTCTGACAGACTGGGAAAATGGTGGAGCATCTCCTGGCATCCCAGACTTTTTCCTGATCAGCAGCTTTAGGACTACTTTTTGGATCTATTTTTTATTTCCAGAAGACTGGATTTGGAGAAATCCTTCTAACTTGACTCCAAAAATCGAGGCCCAGGAAGGCTGTCTCTCCGTGGATTTGATGACTTTGTACACTTTTGCTATTTCTCAGGATACTTTTTTTGCTGATTGACTCTAAATAATATGAAAAAAAAAAGGCAGAAAAATAAAAAAAAAAGAGTGTGTGTGTCAAAGGATGCCTGAGGGCTACTGAAAGACTTGGACAGACAACCCGAGTGAACTCAGAACCTACCTCAACCGGAATGAATGTCTTCTGGGAAGCAGAAATGCCTGCGTCTTCCTTCGTGTTCAAAAAGCAAGTAGCATAGCACTTGGTCAGTACAAGCATGGTCCTACCTCAGCAGTCACGCTCTGTACCTGCCGCCCCGGCGGCTTCGTCGTCGTCGTTCCCGTGTAAAGCACTTCCAAACCTTTGAAAGCAATGTTCTACCTCAAGCATGAGAGAAGCTCGTGTGTGAGAGTGTGAGAGTGAGTGTGAGTGTGAGAGTGTGTGTCTGTGTGTGTGTGTGTCCTCTCCTCTCCCCCAGTTCCTGCCTCTCCCACCCTGCCCCTCACGAAGCGCGATGCTTCACTAGTGTTATGAGCTTTACTTTTAGGGGCTCCGGTGTGATTTTGGAGATTCCTGTCGCGGTTTTTTTACTTTAAAGATTGTTGGGGCTGTCACAGACAAGCAGTGTGGTGCTTTCTGGTTTTCCCTGGCTCTCCCAGGGCTGATTTTGGTGCTGCTGGTGGCTGCCTCAGTCCATCTTGGGTGTATAGAGATGGGGTGCTCAGCTGCCAGCACTGGAGCCAGGGCACCTTCCTGCCCTGTCACTGTGCTGATTCCTGGCAGGATGATTTATGGCACATGCCAGCATAAGCACCATAACACACCCCTGGGGGGTGGCAACCTGGATGTCAACGTCTAGTTCCAAAGCCCACCCTGCCGTAGGAGCGCCCACGGGCAAACAAACCCTGAGACAGTACTTCCAGAACCCCCTGAGAGGCTACTGAGCTGCTCCCAGCTCTTCCAGCGCATTTCCAGCCACAGGAGAACATCCAAAGGATGAGTGGAGCCAAAAAGGGCTCAGTTCCCTGGGAAGGACAAGGCGAGGAGGATGCTGGGGGCTGCCGGCAGCTGCCCCTTCCCGATGCCCAGGGTGGGCAGAGGAGCTCCTGACACCAAAGAGAGGGTTTGTCCCCTCCAGGGATCAACCACCAAACTGCCACTGTGGGGTTTGGGTTGTCCTGGCGTGGTGCAGCCTCGTGAGTCGGTGTGTGACCGGCATCATCCGTGGGGTGAGATGGGGGCAGGGGCAGTGCCTGTTCCCTGCCACGTGGGTTGGTTCAATCCAGGCGAATGTGAAGGTTTGAACTCTCTGTGTAAGTGGTGGTAAATCAAATGTTGCCGTATCTGCAAGGACAGTGAAAGGAATCAGGAAAGGAAATGAGTTTTAAGTTTAAAAAAAGGTATTAATTGTATTTTTTTAAATGGTACCAGTGGGAGAGTCCCTTGTGTGAGAAACATCCCCATCATTTGCCCAGCTGGCAGTGGGATGCTGCCCATGGCCGTGCAAATAATACCACACACAGGAGGATGAGCAAACGCCTCTTCCCTATGCTGGGCCGGGTTAGCTGGGAGCCGTCCTCTGCCCTTCCACATCATCCACCTTGGCCCTAGCAGATTGAATGGCACCAACCTCGAGAGCAAGGAGCTTTTGAGGCTTGGTGTTCCTAGCCCCCTCCAATTATAATTCCTCTTCCTGTTGACATCAGGCAGGACAAAAAAGATGTGAAGGGTTAAACTTTGGCGTTAAGCCCCCAGACAGCCTCTCCCCACCCCACTAAAGAGGCTAGATGGGCCATCAGACCGATCCCTGCTCCCAAGGACATGGGGGGATGTTCCCTTTTGTGATGCTGGACCTGGAGACAGCCTGGGAAGGGACTGTGGAGGGACAGCGCCATGTGAGTCCGACAGCACAGCCCATCGCAGGAGCTGGAGGATGGAAAGGGCAGGAGGGAGAAGGAGACACCAAACAGTTCAAGTTATAACCTCATATCAAAGACAACTCGATCCTCTCCTGCCATCCCACTCCCACCCCAGCCCAGCTTTTCTTGTTATTGTTTTTTTTGGTGTGTGTAACGTCACCGTTCACATTGAATAAGTACCGTTGCCAAAGTGAACACAAAACCTAGAGTAGCGTTCAGCTCAGACTTCCTGAAGCTGTGAACATGCTATTAATTTAATATCATATTATTGTGATATTGTAATAGTAACAAGTATTTGTCACTACTTCCTTTTATTAAAGGGAAATGCTGTGCCATTTGACTAGTTGGAATACGATAGTATGTCAAGAGTAGAGCTTTTTCTTTTGTTTTTTTTTTTTTTTTTAATTATGCAGAAATGTGGTGGCTTAAACCAATGCAGATTCTGTGTTGGTTTGAGACAGCTGAAGATGGATGTAAATCTTTAAAGACTATTTTTTAGAAGTCTAGCTTTTCCTCTTTTTTGGGGTTTCTTTTCCACTCTTTTCAATCCGTACCGTTGGGACGTAATGTTAGATGGTTGCGGCAACTCAGCCCACGAAGGGCTGGGGCTGGTCTGGTGATCCATCAGGAGGGCATGGTCTTCCCTGACTTATCCAAGTGCACAAAACTGGGCAAAAAGACCACTCAAAATGCCACGTTCTGGCTTTGTGCCTCTCAGCTGGAGAAGTGACACATAACAGCCCCCCTTGCTGTACATCAGTGCCTGAGCCAGGCTGGACACAAAGCTGTGACAACCAAAAACTTGGGAAAGTGTCACTTAGAGTATGTCTGGCCTTGAATCTGTGAAATGAGAAGGAAAAAAAGAACAAAAAAGAGCTTGTGTTTGGTTTCAGCCTGGGGGACAGCCTGTCCTTGATTCATCCAAACTGCTGCCCAGAGATAAAACCGCTGGGTAATGGGCAAGTGTTGGATCCAGTGCAAACTGCTGGCAACCACCCATGTTTGGGGTAGGAATCTCATCCTTTATTATTTTTCCAAGCAAATAGTTCCACTAATTCAACCCTCTCAGCTGATCCCAAAACCCCTCTTATTTTCTGACTGTGGTGAGATGAAATTATGGGAAGGAATAAATATCCAAAAGCTGATTTTTTTTTTTTTTTTTAATTTTTGGTAACCCATAATGGGCACAACCTATTCTTGGAGCTCTCAAGTTGACCAGAGATGGCTGCTACCTCAGGGATAGTATCCACATTGTCTTTAGTTGAACAGGGAATAGTTTTATGCTGTGACAGGGTATTTTCACACTGTTGGATTCGGGTATTTATTTGTCTACCATTATCTTTCTTCTTTCTTGTTTTGTAAAGGTGCTTTAAGTGCTGGTCCAGTTTGGGAGTTTTAAATCTTCCAGCCCAGATTATAACAAGGGACTGTAGATTTTAAGCTGGCAATAAAAGAGGAGAGAAGCTACAAAGCATTGTTGCTTCTGGATGGTGAAGGGAAGCTGAGTGACAGCACTTAAGTCTGAGAAGATCAGTTAAAAAAAAGGAAATTAAAAGCTTATGAAAACAAACGGGGGGGAACTACTTACTCACTTCATCTGTGCAAACAGTGTGTGGAAATCTATCCCTCCCCGTGCGCGCCGGAGCGGGCAGGTTACAGATCCCATCTAGCAACTTGATGCCGGCTCATTTATTTCCCTCCCCACCAAATTAAAAAAAGGGAAAGAAAAGTTGATGGCCAGTTCCCAGTTGGTGTCCAGTCACTAGCAGTGTCCCCCAGGGATCAATGTCAGGCCCAGTCCTGTTTAATGTCTTTACTGATGATCTGGATGAGGGGATTGAGTCCACCATTAGCAAATTTGCAGATGACACCAAGATGGGGGGGAAGTGTCGATCTGCTGGAAGGCAGGAGGGCTCTGCAGAGGGACCTGGACAGGCTGAATCCATGGGCTGATTCCAACGGTGTGAGGTTCAGCAAGGTCAAGTGTCGGGTCCTGCCCTTGGGCCACAACAACCCCCTGCAGCTCCAGGCTGGGACAGAGGGGCTGGAGAGCAGCCAGGCAGGAAGGGACCTGGGGGTACTGATGGCAGCTGGACATGAGCCAGCAGTGTGCCCAGGTGGCCAAGAAGGCCAATGGATCCTGGCCTGGATCAGGAACAGTGTGGCAGCAGGACCAGGGAGGTGATTCTGCCCCTGGACTCAGTGCTGGTGAGGCCACTCCTGGAGTGCTGTGTCCAGTTGTGGGCCCCTCAGTTCAGGAAGGACATGGAGGGGCTGGAGCAGGTCCAAAGAAGGGCAACAGAGCTGGTGAAGGGACTGGAGCACAGGTGCTGTGAGGAGCAGCTGAGGGAGCTGGGGGGGCTCAGCCTGGAGAGGAGGAGGCTCAGGAGAGACTTCATCACTCTACAACTCCCTGACAGCAGGGGGGAGCCAGGTAGGGGTTGGTCTCTTCTCCCAGGCAACCAGCAGTAGGACAAGAGGACACAGCCTTGAGATGTGCCAAGGGAGGTTTAGGTTGGACATTAGGAAGAATTTCTTCACAGAAAGGGTGATTGGGCATTGGAATGGGCTGCCCAGGGAGGCAATGGAGTCACTGTCCCTGGAGGTGTTTAAGGACAGACTGGATGAGGCATCAGTGCCATGGGCTGGGTGACAAGGTGGGGTTGGGTCAGAGGTTGGACTTGATGATCTCAGAGGTCTTTTCTGACCCAGCTGATTCTGTGATTCTATGAAAGGGAAGGTGCCTGGGCTGGAGATGGGGATGAGGGAAGAACCAGCACCCCCAGCCAAAAGCGCTGCTGGCACAGGGCCATGGCACTGAAGCCCGCTGGGAATCAGGGAAACAGCTCCAGGTTTACTCCACGGGCAGAGCCTGGGCTTTGGCATCATGTGGGAAGAAGGGCCAGGGCCAGTGTGAAGCCCAGCAAGTCAGGGACAAGCCTAATTTCATGGGGCTTTGGATCAGGGTCTGACTTAAAAAGTGAAGAGGGATTTGTACTTTGATCGTATTTCCATCATTTAAACTTGCAGTATCTTTACATTTGTAAGAAAGTCATAATAAAACTGATGCTAAACCTTTGTCCCAGTCCTTTTTGGGAATCATCTGTTAGGAGTAATACTAAAAATCCAAATTGCAAAGCACTTTTCTACTGTTTATTTTCTACCTTTCTTACTTTGAACTGTCTTGATATTGAAATCCCACTGATCCCACGATTGTTAGCTCTGTATTAAAAAAAAAAAATAAAATAAAACCCAGGTTTTTTGTAGTTTGCTCTGTTTAGATTTTAGCCTGTGGCTACTTGTACAAGGAAAATAAAGCTAGAGTAAATGAGTCTGAGTGGGGCTTTTCTTTTCACGTGTGGGGCTGTGGTGTGGGGGTTGTGCAGGGCAGCTCGAGGCATCACCACTTCACGGGGACGGCTGGTGACTTTGTGTCCTCTCAAAGAGCAGCTTCCAAAATGCAGCATTTCAGGACTGGGTGGGTTTTATTTTGATGTTTTGCTCAAAAAACTCCAGCCAAGCCATCAGCAGAAACCTGCTGGAGAAGGGAGGCTCTTTGGGGAGTGGGTGAGATGAAACCTCCAGGGTCACAGTATGACACCTGTGCTTGGAAATGCAAATCAGATTCCAGTTAATCCTGGCTCCTGCTCAGTTATCCCTGTGTCTGCTTTTCCCGCTGCTTCAGGTGCTGACGGGGCAGCACCTGTGAGGGTGGGGAGGCCCTGGCACAGGTTGCCCAGAGAAGCTGTGGCTGCTCCATCCCTGGAAGTGTCCAAGGCTGGGTTGGATGGGGCTTCGAGCAACCTGGGATAGTGGAAGGTGTCCCTGGCAATGGCAGGGGTTGGAACTGGATGATCATTAAGGTCTCTTCCAACCCAAACCATTCTGGGATTCCAAGGTGTGTCCTTGCCCCAAAACAGGGGCTGTGAACCATGGGCCACCCTCCTGCAACTGTCCCATGTGCTGCAGCACTGCACGGAGGAAGAGCCGCATCCCCTCCTCCTGGAGCTGCCCCCAAAGCCAAAGAACAGTCACAGTGAAGGCCACAGGGAATAAATCAGTGAGACTGAGCCCAGCACTTTGTAAAGAGGGTTTCAATAAGCAGGTGAGTGAAAAGTCCCTTCAAACAACTCCCTGAAGCTCTTGGAACTACTAAATTGCAGCATGGATTGTCCAAATATATACTTCATAATAAATACCAGCATATAAACTGATTTTATTTCCCAGTGGCAACGCAAGAGGTGAAAAAAAGATCAGAGTGGGCTCACTCTGGGGATTTCCATGTAAGTTCAGTGGAATCTGGTGCTTCAGATAGCATTGTGGAGTCAAGGTATTGCATAGAGCTTGTGGCTTTCATTAAAAAGGACTTTCCCTGACTTCATGGCAATAAAAGAAAGGTTTGACAATATTAATCTGAAGTCTTAG